ACACTGGATCTGCAGACTTGGGGTAGCGTGTCGTCGGGCGTCACAGTGGCCTCCCGCCTGTAGGCACTAGGTCCACTCGTCCTCCACCGCACAAAAGGGTGCGGGAGTGCGCAGGTTCACAATATGCTGGAATGAGTGGACGTTGGACTGCACAGACAAGCCCATGTCTTGTTGGGCCACGATCCCGAGGCCTCCATCAAGTTCGGGGACAACGGAGAGGTGATTGTGACGGGAGGGCCACCAGAAAATGCCAAGGCTGGTCAGTTCCGAAACAGTGTAGGAGTGTAGGATGCCTGGCCGTAGTCTGGGCTCAGGCAAATGGAGGTATCTTTGCAAGCTTTGTCTCTTGAGCGGCTTCTCCGTATCGGCTGCCAGGTCAGTAAGAGGTTGTGACAGGTTGTGGCTACCTTTGACCACCCACTCAATAAATGCGGTATATAACCTGCTACCGAAACCTCGACTGCTGTCATGCCCGATCAGGTGAACAAGGTCCAAGGATGAAGCAGCTGCGGGAACGGGCCAACCGTAGCAGCGGTAGTGCCTCGTGGAGAGATCTACAGCAGCTCGAAGCAAGATGCATGTTCATCCTTGGCGACCGCTCGAAGACTAGTTACTCGAAGACTTTTGAGACAAAGTATAGAGCTGCTGCAAGCATCATTGTGACTCTTCCAGTCCTCGCAACTGCCGCAGAACAGAGTCTGGGCCAGATTCTAGGGGTGGATGCTGTAGCCCTTAATTAAAGTTCTCCTGCGTGCAGGGTGTTGTGAGTAGTTTGGATCCCAGAATTTGTTCCGGATGGACACGAGGACAGCAGCAGTGAAATGTGAGAGACGAGACGACATGTTCACACGCACCCACAAGAAAGGCGGGTGCAGAGCTAGGGATTGCGACTGTTGTGATGGGTTGTAGCAGGTTTTTCGACGGAGCTTCTGCTGCGTTGCACTTCTTCATAGGGTGTCTACTGCCTTGAAGGAGCTCACGTTGAACCGCAGCGATACTCGAGCTCAAACACTTCTGAAGTGAATACACCAGCGCTGTACAGCAATGGCCGCTACCTTGGACGACACGGTGCTCGCACAATGCATCCTCCGGGAGCTCACGCACCTGACTCTCGGGGCAGCAGCCAAAATCACCCCCCACCCAACAGGTCCTCTTGTCGGGAAAGAATGGTGGTGTCTCTGAATGCTGCGCACTTCGCTCCTTGTGTTTTCAAGCCAGACCCAGATCGACTGCAGATTTCAGGAAAGTCCAGAGCTGCGCCATGCGGGACTCTGCGTGTTCCTCAGACACTGAGACCCTCAGCGATTATTTGGGCTTCGAGCTCCTTGATCGTCGGAGTTTGTGTTCCTACGGCAGTTGCAGTATTTTGGTGGCCTTGTAAAGGGGCCGCAAATCGAAGGACACTTTCTCCTGCCTCATCGCAGAGCCTCTCCTCCATCCGGTCGTCCTCGCCAGTGGGGCTCACCAGGTTCCTTGTTTCAGCGTCAACTGGGAGCATCGCGGGCTGCGGCTCCGCCCGTGTGCCCGCTCTAATAATAGCATGTCGCAGACATCTCAGGCTGGTCGGACCAGCCATTCCTCCCCCTCCGGGTCTGCCTCTGCCGCCGCTGGGCAATCCAGAATTGAAGAAGAGCGTGCTCGGCTTTGTGGACGGTGCTTGAAGTTTGAAGAAGTCCTTGAAGAAGTCGTGGCGCAGTTGCGGTGTTCACTGAGCTTCGGTGGTGCTAATGAAGCGTAGCGAATACTTTTCATAGTGTGTCTGAATCGACGTGTTTGCCTGAAGTTGGTTGAGGCTTCCGCTGGCAACCCTCGTGCCTCCTCCACAGCCGCTGTCTCGGACCGTGTCCATCGAGCTGCCACCAGAGGCTCCACAGGAACGGGTCGACAGTCGTGATTCTTCGTCTCACGGATCTTGTAGCTTGAAGCTTCAGGAGCCGCAGTGGCACGTGCTGAATCCAAACGTCTCCCAGCTGCATTACGTTTAAGCAAATATAAAACCACCTCACGGCAAACGACTCTTTGAGTGCTGTTCGTCTCGCGATTCATCTTCGCGGCATTGTTTTGTACAAGCCATTTGGGCTTAAGCGAAGCATCTTGCACTCATGCTGCCGCCAGAGGCTGCAACCACCGATGACACCACCAATCTTGAACACATTACTTGCGTCTCAGGGTTCACAAGATGCTATTGAAAGTCCTGTAAAAAAACGTGCCATGGGCAGTCCTGCCATCTCCACGAGTCATGAAGGAAGTCTATCACGAGTTGCCGAACTTCAAGCTGTCTCTAATAAGGAGGAAATAGAACTGGCTAGACGACGAGCGGAGGAGAGGTCAAGTACCGCTGTACCGCTGCTTTTGAGCTGGAGACGAGACGCAGAGCCGCAATCAACGCCAGAAACAATCCGAAGAGGATGAGGCGTCCGGCTGCCAAGAAGCGTCCGGCTGCTGTGATTGATGTCTCCTAGAAATGTTTCTTTTATGAAGACTTGTACACCTTCGGCTGATGGCTCCGATGTACAGACACGCATTTTGAGTCTACAGCCGCGAATTGCATGAAAAATCGTGTCTTGGCAGAAGCTTGGAGATGTCTTGAGCATGTCTGCATATGTGTGCTCTAAGACGGCATCCACATCGCTCCTTCGCCTAGGCGAAGTTCAAGTCTGCCTGCGGCTGTCCGCTGGTCTCCCAGCCATTCCAGGCTTGTGGTGCATGGCATGCTCATGGCCATGGGGGGTCGCCTGAGAAGCCGGCGTGTAGCAGACTTTCAAGATAGACTTTCCACCTCGGCTGTCACATGGCCAGGTGGGAGACTTGGACGATGTCAGGGTGATGCTTGTCTGCACCGGATCTTGTACCGTCTTTGTTTCGGAGTGAAATTGATCCCCCTTACCCAGGATCTTTGCACCTGGAAAGCAGTGGATGACGGAGTATTGCCGAACGACAAAGAAGCACAAGAAGAGCCAGGCTGCGACCAAGATAGGATTAGGGCCGGTGAGGGATTAGGGTGCAGGAATCCGTGGTCGCCTGGGCTTGGGGTCTTCGGCAGCTTGGTGTGACAACGGCCCACGCCACGTGCAGACAACCAAACCGCTCTGCCTTGCCGCAGGACTGTAGGAGCCGTCCGTGGGGCTGTCGTGGTGTGCAGTCGGCTAGCAGCTAGCAGCTAGTGACAGCTAGTGGCTTCGCAGCTTCATCTGTACGAGCGTACCACAAAACTCTGTCCTCAAACTCAGCCGAGCCTTCCTCAACCTCGACCTCACTTGAAAGAGGCCTGTGATGATCTGCCGAAGTTCGGCTCCTTGCAGCTGAAGATTTCAGGTGGCAAGGCTGGCCCTCATCCCGTTGCTTGTGCATTGCTTGAGGATCGTATGCGATAGCACGCTGAGCAGAACCCAGCTTGCGAGCATGTCCCTGTTCATAGGTTGGACCGGCAGCCGGTGGTGTGCAGAAGTTTCGGTCTTCTCAGAACTTTTGAGGGCCGGCTTGTTGCAGGCTGAAGACAGCAAGGTCTTCTTTCTCTTTGGATCCCATCGCTTCGGCCCGGTTGCCAGCCCCGCTGGACAGTGTACCACTGAGGCTGCGGGTGGAGCCAACGCCATGAGTTTCTGCTCCATGTCGGGAGCTGTGCGAAATGGACAGGTCTTCGAGCTGCCCTTGGATTGGCGACGAGAGATGTGTGGAGGTGCACTGAGCATCGGCGCCGCTTGGTAGAAACAGCATCAAGCCTGGCTCCACAGGGGATCGGTTTTGCGATGTTGCGCACGCAGCCAAGCTCAGGTGGAGATTGAACGCGCATAGAGAAGTTTGAGCAAGTTGTGAGGGGCTTGGATCATTGCTGTGTGTCGGCTGCTTGCCGCCGACCCCAGCTTATGCCCGTGATATGGTTGGGGATCCCTGGCTGAATGGGGGTTCGATGCAATGTGTCAGGCAAAGAACCACCCTGGGTCGCCTTCCATCTCGACCCAGAGGACCGCACGTTGACTGGCGGTAGCATCTGATTGTGTGCTGCCTTTTTTACAGTGGCCCCTGTAGCTGCCACGCAACACAGTAGAAAACTTGTTTCTGGCTGCCAGGGCGCGGGTCTGACGCGCCTCATACAGCAGAGACGGCTCAGGGGCACACGTGCCGCGGCGGTGGGAAAGTCAGTCTTGTCTGGCTCTTTGCACGCAGGGACTCGTCATGTCTGCCCAGGCCATTTCTGTACAGTCTCTTTGGACGTGGCAAGCTGCGTGTTCTCTCAGAAAGAGGGACGCCGCAGGTCTCCCCAGTCGAGCCCTGGCTGCAAGGCCATGGCCGTCACTCGCTCAGACCCGTCGCACTGGTACCCCATGTGCTAGCATCGCCGCATCGCCGAAGCTACACGAGAAAGCCCGGCGCTGTGCAACAGCTCCAGTGCTTGCAACCTCCGGCAGCTCAGGTATCTGTCCAGATGGAGATGATGGAGCTTTTGCTTTGCTTCCTGCTTCATGGGTAAAGCCCTGGGGATTGCAGCTGATCTCAGTCAGCAAATGGCAATTGTGCTGTGTCCTTCATGTGCCATTGCACCCCATCTTCGCCCTGCAAGCAGCAGGCACCACAACAGCCTGCACCTAGCATGCATTTCGAAAAATGCCCAACCTTTCAGATGATCCGAGAGATAGAGGGAGGTTCAACCGAGGTGCATCGAATCTCTGAAGGATTTGGGTAGGATGTGGCTTCAGCTGCCCAGCTGACGCATCTACTTTTCCTGCATGTGATCGAGATGGCGTGGCCATAGGGACTATTGCAGATTGCGAACTTACCGTCCAACCATCAGAGCAAGCATAGACTTGGCCCAGTCTCGGCTTGCATGTGACCTCGCTCTCCCGAGACTCAGTTGAAAAGGAATGAGGCATTACCTTCAGGCTGACATTTCAGATCTAGGGATTCGACCCTTGGGAAGAGCTCCAATGCTGCCGCTGAGCTGGCGATGAGCTGCATCGCAGGGGTCCGACCAGTGACCACCTGAGTTGCTCGTTAGCAGCCTCATGGCCACTCAGCGATTAGAGCCTTTTTATTTTGGCACACACCTGTCAAGGCAAAGGGTAATTACCTGCATCGAATTGTCTTGGTTTGTTTATCTGACCAGCTGCACACTGGAAGCCGCTTGTTCCCGATGTTCCCGTGCAAGTCAGGCTTCGTTCTTGAGTACGCAGAGGGCCGAAGCAGAGCACGTTTGTACCCACCCAGTTCCCGTCTGCAGAGCAACGTCTAGGTTTGTGTGGCGTGAAATTCAGATGTGGGGTAGTCCGCTCTGGAGCCGCTGACAGGGACGATTTGCCTTCTGTTGTCCAGTGGCCGTGTGCTCTCACGGAGGTGGCTGCACAAAGCTTCCATGATAGCCTACGTGGGGTATGGGGCCAAGCTGGAGCACTTAAGCAGTGCTCCAGTCCGTTCAATACCGCTATTCCTGAACAGCTTGCTAGCTTGTGGCTGGGCCATGGCGGCCAAGGTCTGCGGTTCTCAAAAAGGCAACAGATTAAACGGTGCATCTCCGCCATAGCGCAACCTGTGGCTACATCTGGGAGGCGGTAGAAGGGAGACAAGCTCCTGGCCTGTTTGAGGCTAGGGGTGTGCATCCCTTGCAGATAGAATTCAAGACCACCGTACCGTGCCTGTGCCACGGTGGCACCTTGATCTAGCATTTTGGACGCAGCCGCAAGGATGGAATGCAGGGTTGGGCACGAAGAGGGGCGTGCAATTGTGCAAATACGTTTGGAGGGACCTTTTCCTTGATTCCTTGACTTTTCGTGGTGCCCAGTGTGTCGAACCCTGCTCGGAGGCTACAGTGATGGCCCACCCATCCGACCGAGATAGACTTGACAGGTCGCGCGGCGGTGTCAAGAAGTCCACAGGTGAAAAAGACTTGCGATCCAAGGAGAGAGAAGCCCCAAGCAACTGCAGGCGGAGCATAGGTGCAGGAGTCAGCCGGGAGTGAACGTGGCTTTTGGCCCGAGGCACGTTCGTGCTCTAAAGGTGCTTTCGAGCTCTTGTGCTGGTGTAAAGTGTCGAGATCCATAGGCAAAAGCTCTTGGATTCGCACCTCCACGTGCAATCCAACGCTTGTTTCCGAGACACATGACCAAGGCAATGACAGGGCCTCGCTGCTGCAATGAGGTAGAGTTTGTAGGCATCTCACCACCCTCAAGCATAGCCGCCGTGACCACACATCAGCAGCATGCAGAGCCATCACAGACCCTGTGAGATACGGGGTTCCGAAGTTCCCGAGGCTGCAAAACCTGGATGTGGATCTACTGCAGTGCATCTTGCAGGCCGATTGCTGCTTTGCATGGGAACCTCCCGTAAAGGCTTGCTGCTCGCCTACAGGAGCTGGAGCAAAAGGAGAGGCTAAAAAACGAAGGACAGCTGCGCCTCTGAGGCATGTTCTCGAGCTTCCATTCAGTGTGTGGTTGGGACCGGGAGCAGGGAGCACTGGAAGTTGCCAGGCACGCCCATCCCGCGCATACCCGCATATCTCCAGTTCGGGTCGTCCTCGAAAGACTGAGGCTGAAGCGGCGACCCAAGTGCTTTTCAAGATCCGATTCTGGCTTTCAGGCCGGGGTTCTGACACGATTTGACAGCTGGCAGCCGGAACTGCACCATCGGCCCAAGAAGGTCGTTATCGCATGCAGGCCAGTCGTCAATTCTTTCAGAGTCGAACTGTGAGGCAGATGCGGAGACCCAGCTGCCTTCAGGCAGCAGGGGCTTGCGACTGCTGCAGGTTGTCTCACCAAGTATTCGACACGTGTGGTGGGAAGGGCGGCAGCGTTAGCGTTGCAGAAAGCAGAGCGAGGCGGCGCGAGCGCTGCCACGTCCCCGCTTTCGAGCCTTCTTGGCAGCAGTAGTGCAGATGTAGCGGTCTAGCAGTCTGACTCGGACGCTTACTTCTTTATTCTGACTTGCATACCAACAAGACGTCAAGCGTCAAGTTTTTGTGTTCAACACAACGTCGTACTGAGCCAGGTGCTGTTGACCTGCTGTTAGCTGACTAAAAATGTTGCGAAGGCTGTGGTGGTTGAGACTGAGACAGCAGAAGTTTGCAGGTGCACATCGGACAAATAGTTGGAGGAGATAAGCAAGCAGGATGCATCGACGGACTCATGCCCCAGCTCAGTGACAGGACGTGTTGTGCTACTGCAACGAAACCGGTGTGCTTAGTCACTTAATTTTACTTGCACGCAGCTTCGCACTTTTCGAAGCAGCGCACAGTGCTCTGTGTTACACTGACCGGAGCTGCCATGTCAACGGCATCTCCCGCTACTCCATCCATAGCAGTCGAAGATCGAGTCTCCCACGAGACTCTTGTCGAGACCGTCAAATCTCAGCAGAGGAGCAGCGACATCGCCAGAGAAGGCTGAGGGTTTGGGGGGTCGTTGGGGTTCAGGGTCTATTTAATTTCCGCTTTTTTGGTTTGGGATGTGCGATAGTGTGAGCGTTTCTTCTTTGATATTTACCATGGGGTGGTCTGCATGGTTTCAAAGGCTGGCGGCACTACTGCAGTGCACTCGGGTCCGGAATCCAGGACCCAGCAAAGCACAGGCCCGAGTTCTTGCTGGAATTTCTGACCTTGCTGAAGTCCGAGAAGGTTCCCAGACAAGAAGAGAATCCCGAGCCACGCCTCGTGCGGAGCTGCTGCCCTTCCCTTGGTTCTGGCCAGCTGGAGCTTTTCATGCCTGAGAGCGAAGTCAGCGTATTGAAAGATGTGGTCAATTCCAATTGCTATGGCTTCGCCCCTGGGAAGGCGTGCATTCTGTGCTCCGGTGACGTCGTGCTGGATGTTGGAGCACATGTTGGCACAGCATCAGCTTTGGCATTGAAGACTCCCGGTGTTGCCGTGGTCTGCGTGGAGCCACACCCTGTGACCTTTGGCCTGTTGTCGAAAAACCTATCCGGTCCCAGGGCCACGCTTCTAAATCGGGCGCTGTCTGACGCATGTGCTGAGCGAGAGCTCTATGCACACCGAGGTACCAACAATCCCTCTCGCCTTTTTTTTGCTTCCCTCTTCGCCACACGCAGTCATGCAGATGCTACAATTCCAGTACAGTGCATCACACTACAGGACCTCATCGTGAAGTACAGCCCCTCGGTCATCAAGATTGACGCCGAGGGGGCAGAACGGTACGTGGCGTCCATCAAGGACTTCGGAGCTGTCAGGCGGCTGGTGGCAGAGTGGGACTGGGCCCACAACCGTCACAAGGACACCTGGGGGGATGCCAGGAAAACGCTTGAGTTGCATGGCTTTAAGCTCACCATTCGCGGCCGCATGCCTGACTTTGATTCTAGCGGGAATGCAATCCTCACGGATGGACGCTGCAAGAAGAGGGGTAACACAGGAATGATATTCTTCGCGGCCCGCAAGCCCAGCAGCATTGACAAGGCGCTGAAGAGCTCTGGCTACGTTTCGAGCTTCCCAGAGGAACCCTGTGGGAGTGATTCAGCAGTGGAGGGAGAACCGGGAGAACTCCAAGCATTCGCCCAGCCCAAGCTGTCCTCGCAGCTTGAGGCTTTGTCGATAGAGCAAATGGAGCAGCGTTTGTCAGATTTTGGAGAAGACTTGCGGCCAGTTGCTCCGACCGAGTTTTTCGTCATGGGCTTCAAGGAGCGTCGGCGAGCTGAGCTGGTCCAGGCGCTGTGTGAGGCATACAAGCATCAGCCACGGACGTTCGAAACGTCTGCGGGCATCCCACTGCAGCCAGAGGCTCTTAGTCGCCTGCTAACAGCACTCAGGCATCTCAAGTTTGAGGAGAACGCCCGGCCAAGCGTTCACGCATCAGGCTATG